GATGTGGAAATTTTGCCTCAGTCCCATTTTGGTCACACCCAAGCTTTGGGATGGATGTGCGGGCTCTCTCTACACAAGGCCTGATCCTTGGTTCACAATGGAGAGCTGGACATTCCCAGTCTAATTCATCGATTTTCTGTCGTTGGCGACCGCAGTGATCTTCTTTGGCAAGGTTTTCGACAACACGCCCTTTGTTTGTGCATGCTAGCACATTTCCTCCTTGTCCCTAGTTTTCATGGGTCTAGCATTTGATTAATCGAAGTAGCCCAAGGTTTGAAAGAGGGCAAGAGTTGCATTGGTTTGGCTTTGGCCGAGACTTTGATGGGCTTATACGCCTTCCATCGATGAGAGACAAACAAATTCACAAGGAGTCCACTACTTCTTCAGGTAATGTTTCCCACCTTTTCTAACATGTATTTCTCATATCTCTCAGCACTCATGCTTTATTTTTTCTCTCAAAGCCCTTTTCTCATTTTTCTCTCAACGTACACATCTCTATTCTTTAATCTCTATTTTCTTTCATCCCTCCCCAGATGTGGCTTATGGACAATCTGAAGGTAATGGACTGTTGCCTCGCATACTCAGCCCGACATACTTTTTTCGCCAATAGCTAGTTGATTTTCTGAATGAAGGATGGTGGTGCCATTAGATGTGCAACAGGTCTACTGCTGACATTGCTTGGCGTTGCCCTTGGCTTAATCTGACCGAAATGAGCCACAGCATGGCTCGGTAACTTGGCGTTCAGCTGATTAGCTTGGCATACTGTGTATTCTACTTTCCGTTCTGGTTCAGACGTCAGTTTGGACATGATCAGACTCACCCAGAGGAGGGGGTAGAGTACCCGATTTCATTCCCCATTTGAGGTTCACATTCGGCTAGGTACCTCACTGCTTGGAGAACAAGAGAGCTTCTGGCTCCTGCCCCTAGTTTCAGCTGTGCCCTTTCTGATGAATGCCTAACTTGGCTGGAAGATGAGGCACAATCCGAGCCTGCTTTGGCATCAGAAGCTTCCACGAGCACAAGCGGGGGATGCAGGAACACCTGACTCATCTATGCCCCAAGTTTTGATCTTACTTTTCAAGTTTAATGCATGTAATAAAAAGCAGCTTTGATTTGTATCGAGAGTTGGAGAACTTTGTACTAAAATCAATGACATTAAAGTCCTGAGCACTGAAAGTTTTCCTTTTGGTCCAAAAATGGTCTAAGTTGTAGAAGGTAAATTTGAGCAAAATCAACTTTTATCAAAACTTTTCAAAACCATTTTCGATAAGGATCACAACTGGACACGCATGGAATCTATCCTCGAGATGTAAAACCCCAAATCCAAAAATGGAAAATTGCCCCTTGTTTGAATAGCACTGCTCAGCACTATAACCAATTCTCAGAGACGATCACAACTGAACACTCAGGTAAAGATTAGACAAAGATGACCTGATCAAACACATGGACATGATAGTTGAGTTGGAGGTGTTTACAGCCGAACTTTAGAATGAAGTTGCCTACGTATCCTGAAAATGGGAATTAGGCCTTACGTAGTTCGGTTCAGGTTCACTTGAGTATTAACGCTCTCCTTTTACACTCTAACTTTTGCCAAGGCTGCCCTTTAGGGTTTTCAACCTTTCAAGCTCAGTTTTTCTTTTCTTTTTTTTCTAATTTTTTGTGCTCTAACTTTTGTCTAGATCGTCCTTCCGGGTTTTTGGCCTAGCGAGCCTCTCAAGGATAATACTTCTTTAACTTGTCCATGTTGATCGGTTGGGAAAATTCTAGGCCATCCAGTTCCATAAGAATAACAGCTCCACCTGACCAGATGGTTTTAATGATGTAAGGACCAGTCCAATTGAGTCTGAATTTTCCCCTAGGGTCATGGATAGGAGCTCGGTTGTCTTTCAGCACAAAATCCCTTTCTTTAAGATTCCAGGGACTTAACCTTCTTGTTAAAAGCCCTAAAAATCTTGCGCTGATAAACCTGACATGGTACAGTGCTTTCAGCCTTCTCTCGTCAAACAGCATCAGTTCTTCGAACCTGCTCTGCTGTCAGTCTGCCTCTGCTATCTAACATTCAGTCGTAACCCGCAGCGATAGAACTTCTATTTCAATCGACAAAACAACTTTCATCCCATAAACAATGGAGTAAGGAGTTGCCCCAGTAGACGTCTGAATTGAAGTCCTATAACCCTAGAGTGAAAATGGCAATTTGTCTAGACAGTCCCTGTAAGTCTCGACCATCTTCTGCAGGATATGCTTTATATTCTTGTTGGCGCCCTCAACAGCTCTGTTGGTTTGCGGCCGGTATGTGGATGACTTATGGAAAGCCACATATTTTCCAACAAGTCGATCACTTCTTTCTTGAAATGGGGACAATTATCAGAGATGATCTCGTTTGGGACTCCATAACGGCAAATGATGTTGTTTCGGATGAACTTAGCCACATGTGCTGCTTTCAACACTGCATAAGATTGAGCTTCTACCCACTTCGTGAAATAATCAATTGCCACCAAAATGTATTCATGCCCATTTGACCCTTTTGGTGTGATTGCGCCGATGACGTCGATTCCCTAGACTAAGAAAGGCCATGGTGAAGTCATGTTGTACAGCTTCGACGGTTCATGCGACTGGCATGAATCTGGCATTTGTGGCATCGCCGAACAAAACCGATACAATGCTCCTCCATAGTAGACCGATAGTAACCTTGCCTGAGAATCTTCCGGGCTAGCATTACTCCGTTCATGTGTGCTCCGCACTCTCCTCTATGAATGGCCTCCATTAGGCGCTTTGATTCTTCTCCGTCGACACACAACTTGTGCATTCCCAAATTGAATGGCCATCCGCCGTATTGCCCTCTTATTTTTGGCATTTGTCCCTGGTGGATAGACCTCATTTTTCAAGAAGTTCCAGATATCATAGAACCAAGGGTTTTGATCTTGCACTTCATTTATTGCGGCGATTGACTCGTAGGCCGGTGTATATCTCTACTCAATGATGATCGGACGCATCTGGACTCCAAACGGGATGTCTATCATGGAAGATAGAGTTGATAAAGTATCAGTGAACTTGTTGTTCTCTCTTAGTAGATGAGTGAAGGTCAGCGTCTCAAACCTAGGAATCAAAACATCCAGGGTCTGGTGGTAGATCTTCATCTTTTCTTCTTTGACCTTCCAGTCTCCTTTCGCTTGAGACACAACTAGGTTCGAGTCCCCAATGAAGTCCTACCAAATGGTCATATGTCCAGAATTAAAAACTGCAGCAAAAGGGAAGGCTCAACGGTTTGTTTGTTAAGGTTTTGTTTTGAGTCATTTCTTTTCCAACAAGTGTAATTTGACATGTTTAAGTTGTTTATGCTTTGTTTGTCTTTTATCGAGTTGTATTTTGAATTTTGGACAGTTGAAAACTTAATAACCAATCTGGGACTTATTGAAAATCAATTATTCTTAGTTTCAAATTCACAAACAAAATGTTTATGTCTTAAGTGCTATGCCATTCACGCCACGATGTCCAGAATGAAAATTTATTTTATTCAAATTCAAGGCTGAACTTCCCAATTACAACTTACAAAATAAGAAAATTTCAAAAACAACAAAAGGATATCATCTGAAGCTAATATATTCGTGCTCGATTCCTAAGCAAACACCAAAAATACAAAAAGAAAAAAAGAAGAATAGAGGATACAAACACTTTCTTAGTTTCTGGCGACTTGTGTTTCTATCGACAAAGATTACAAGATGATGCCTTTTGCAGATAGTGTGATTGCCTGGTTTCATTATCAGTTGTCTCACTTCATTGTTAATCTGGTGAGAGTCTTGAAGACCCCGCTTCAACATTTGTAGAGCTTCCAAAAGAAATCACTCATCATTGACCATTGAATGAAGAACAACAAGGAGATGTGAATCCGGCAATAGAGGTTGCTCGTCGTTTCAGCTCTCTGTTTTGTTTTTTCAATTTTCTAATCTCTTCTCGGGCATCCTGGTACATACGTTGGTATAGGAAGAGTTATGCATTCAAGCGCTATACATTGTTTGCTCTGCTTTGCAACCAATGGGACAAATTAGATACCGTAGCTGCGGTCTCCATACATAAGTTTAGAGTATGAGAGCTGGCGTGGATGTTAGATTTTGCTGCCAACATTTGTTCTATTGGCATTGCAAGGAGATGAAAAACAAGGGGCAGGGGCACCCTGCAAAGGCATAGAGGGGCTGGTGTCAACAATCTCTATCGAAATGCTGTTAAGGTCTAGAAAAAAAGAAAGAGGATGGCGAGAAGAGGCCATGTCAGAAATGAAAAAGCTCGAGCAATAGTAGACTGCTTTTGCAGCTTTTCGTTCCAACTTTGCTATCTGTTCTGCCTCTCCCTCACGAGATGTGGTTAAGAAGAAGACGAAGGAGAAGAAGAAGACAAGAGGGAATGCCAAGGCAACCGTTGAAAAATCGAGGTAGGTTTGGTTATGTCGGTTATGCACCATGATTGTTAAAATCATGCGCCAAATGCGACACTTGAAGAAGATAGTGGAGGAAGAAAGGGAATAAGAATAGAGAAAGGGAAGAGAGTGTATTTGTATATATATACGTATATGTATATAGTGTATTTGTATATGTATATATATGATATATGTGTCCATATATGTATATGTATGTGATATGTATTTTGTATATATAGTTTGTACGAATATATTTATGGGTTGTATATATGCATGTATGTATATGTATGGTATGTGTACAGGTATGTATATGTGTAAATATGTGTAGGGTATATATAACTAAATAATTGGTGTGTGTTTGTGTAAGTGTAATCTATTTTCGTTATATAACATGTTGTCTCATGCATTGTGCATAGTTTATATTATCCATTTTATATAATTTTAATACCATTTAGGATTTGAGATAAATGTATACATATGCATCATATAGTCTGCCTGTTCATATACATAAAAGAAAAGGACAATATATATATATACATATCATCATGAGTTTTGAGGTCACCCTTTTACATCAAAAATTTAAAAAAAGAAAAAAGAGAAAATACATCATGAAAGAAAAAATTTAAAAAATCAATGTGAAGCCATCTTCATCCTCTTCAGTGGTAGGGAAGCCTCCACGTCACTGGCGGTCTCACTGTCCTCGGAAATCTCAAGGTCAACACCAGCATCTTTGCCATTACCACTCTCCTCGCTGCTTTCTCCATTGTCCTCTTATATGCCTCTGGCTCGGGATCCACAGGAGATGCTCTCCCTCCTCTCTTACCACAACTATTTCTGCCTCGACCACTCTCATCCTGGCCTCCTCTCCCTCGTACTAGAGCTCTCCCTCCACTCCTTCTCATGGCTGGAGGGGGTGCCATCTGACAAAATGACAGAGATCATAATATCAGAAGTGCATCGAAATTGAATGAAACAAAAAACGTTGCATAGGAGACAAAGCAAGTAAAGAAAAGGTTACCTCAATCCTGGTAGAGATCAAAGCTACCTCTCTCCTCCACACCATGAGCATCAGTGTGTCGATGAGCTCTAGGCACTGATCAGTATAAGCCATCTCTGGGCACTGTATACAAAAGAGAGATTAGCACGAAATTGAAAAAATGAGAAATAAATGAAAAGTAGTAAAGAGAAGGGTATATTGGTCGGGTCTTTGGGACGAGGATGAGTGACCGTCGTCCAAGAGGTTCTAAAGGTAACTCATTAAGAAGACCATCCGGGTGCTGAAATGTAATCACTAAGGAAAGCACCGGATGTCCGAGAGGGAAGGAAACATCATTAACAGGAGGTGTGGGACCTCTAGCAGCAAGGGCAGCACCAATAAGGGCAACATCTTTAGCGGCAAGGACATCAGCAACTCCGATAATGCGAACCACACCCTTGGTCAAAGAAGGCATAATATGGAACCGCAAGAATGTGGTATAGTCCCTAGGAATATGAAAGGCATTAGCATCCTGCGCCAGCATTAGCTCATCGATAAGGGCCCTGTCAATGATGTCGTTGGCAGTCCTCATGAATGGAGAATGATAGAATACGAGGATCGACTTGGCCCAAAGTTTGGTGGGTGAATCCCTCCCCCAAGTAGCAGACCTTGTAGAATGGGCCCTCCAACAATGCCCTCATCCTGGAAGCCTCCCAAGAAATAACATATCTCACCTTCATCGCAAGGGGCATGGCCACCCAAGGATGCCACTGAACTTGCAAATGAAGAATATACAAATTAGTTGCCTAATTTAAAATATAGTGAAGAGGAAATAGAGAGTTCTGCAAATGATTACTATGTCGACAGTCACAGTGTCAAAGAAGCGACGGCAAGCAATGAAGCTGCAGACATGTCGGCTACGAGGACAGAGTTTCCCATCGTAATATAGGGAGCAAGGCACTGCCATGGCAATCTCAAGTTGCGAAATATGGGCAATGGAGGGAAAGTAATTGTAAAGCCATAGTTGTACGAAAAAGCATATCAGAAAGCCAATAGGCAAAGATGAAAATGAGATAAGCGATAAAATATAACTAAATTGAAAGAAAGTGCATACTGTATCTCACAAGCCCTCTAGTAGCCCCAAAACAGATCCATCTTCCGGCGGGACATGGAGCTCATGTATCCGTAGAGGGTGACGAGGCTAACTCCACCCTAGTTGTACTCCCTCACCCACGGGAGTTCCACCATGCTACTCAATAGATAAAGTCCTACGGTATTCTTCCTGTTTGAAAACAGGGTAGTGCCGAGGACATAAAGAAGAAACCCGTGAGCATACTTGGCTGTCTCATCTATAGTTGCTAGCTCTGTCCCATGGAAATGCTGCTAGAGCCAGTTGTATCAGATCATCCCATGGCAAGCAAGGGGTAGCATAACCCCAAGAAGAAAGATCTGAGTAGCATGCCCCTGGCTCAGGTCTAGAATAAAAGGGATCGGATCACCCCACACCAAGAGACCAGTGATCATGGAGAAGTCATAAGGGGTCATTGTCATCTCTCTGATGGATGAAAAGTAGAAGGAGTTGGTGGTGTCCTACTACCTCTCCACCAAGGCGTCATAGATCGACCGGTCCACCTATAGTGACCAGATCTCCAAGTAAAATGGGGTGAAGCCGACTCCATCCACCAGGGTGCAGACCTCGGTGGAGAGATCTCCGTACCACTGGCGAGGGACGTGGACACTCCCGTACCCTTTCACCAGTTAGCCGGTGATCTGCAACAAGAAAGTTGTTAGCATACAAAAACAAATGTAACTTTCAAGGAATTTAGAGTGTAGCATGCAACAGAAGTAAAATGAGAATACAACGAAGGGCTCATGGAAGAGGTGCTTCGAACTTTCCTAAAGCACCACATCCTCTGCAACCCGTTAGGAGAACTCTGTGAATTGCAACATCCCCCGAGGACCATTGTGTGTGTGCGTGGCATGTAGGTCGCAAGATCAAATGGCCTTGTCCTCAAGGGAAATGGCTCTGGTTCTGGCTCTGGCTTGATGTTCGCAGCCATGAGATCCTTGTCATGGCCCTCAACGTCCACGGCGGGCACAGGGATATCAACCCCAGGCACCGGTGATGATAGGTGGTACGTCATCATGAGGAGCGTCGTCGCTAGCCATAGCAATTTATGGAATTAAAGGAAAGTGTGAGAAATCCAATCCAAGTTGTGGGCAATCATCAAAAATCAAAGGGGAAAAGTGATAAAATATTCTAAAAGTGATGAAACTGTGAAAAAAAAATGCAAAATCAATGGCAAATTGAAGAAATCTCAAGAGTTTTAATTTCAACAATGTTAAACTGGGGCCAATGTGTATGTGAGGGACAAAATTTCCCAGCAATATGAATTCAAGGTTAAGTTCATGGAAATGTTACTCAATATCCAAATCAAATTGAAATTCATGGTCTAAGTTTCATTTAATCAAGGGGGCATGTAACGAAAATTGCGAGCAATCTTGGTCAAATTCTAAGGGAATTGTCTAATTTATGAGCAATTGACCAAGCATTCAATGTGATATGAAATCAATGCCTAAACAGTGAGTAACTACCCAAAATTCAACAGAAAATCAAGAAATTCAAAGCAAACCATGAAGAAATTCAAGAAAGTTGTCCAAGTTTGTAAGCAGTTAATCAAGGTTTTTGAGAAATTACCTTAGTTGTGAGGAGCCACCAAAAATTAGTCCAAATTGTGGGAAATCAAAACGAAAATTGTGAGGAGCAGTGAATTACACTGCAAAGTCAAAGGAAAATGATGAGAGATTGCCTAAATTTGTGAAAAACACTTGTTATTCAAGCCCAAATCAAAAAATGAATACCCGAATCATGCAAAATCAAAAAAAAAATCCAAAACCTTACCTTTTTTGGATTCCAATCGGTGCAAAAAGCATGGAACTGTGGTGTTTTTTTGGGTTTGCGTGGACAAGGGTTTGGGGCAAATCGAAATGGGGAAAAATCAAAAGAGAGAAAGTTTCGGGAGTGGGAGATAGTGTTTTCGAACTAGGTGGTATAAGGAAATGAGCCCAAGGTGTGTTTTAAAGCAATTAGGTCTTAAAACCCATTTTCTACCCCATAGTCGAACAAATTGGCCGGCCGGCATATTTTTTTGGTTGGCCAGCTAAATTTTTGGCCATGTGAAACTTTTTTTTGTCGGCTAGCCAATTTTTGGCCGGGTGGATAATTTTTTAGCCGATTAGCTCATAGTTTGGCCGAGCTGCTCTTGTTTTGTATAGTAAGCTCAAAAATTGGCTAGGTCACTCTTGTTTTGTATGGTTGGATTCTTGTGATGAGGCCGAGTGTTCTTATTTTCATCCAATGATGATTAAATGGCACACCCAAATAGTTTCCGTTCTCAGAAACTCAAAAGAATGGCATTTGGAATGTATGCTTTGGTGTTTCAACACTCATTTGGACTCAGTTAAAACCTTTCCCACTTTCATATGAAATACGGTTAGGTATGCCTGTTGGTTGCACCACTTTTCATCATTTTATGTGAAACGCGAGGATTTCAAGTTTACTCGGTTAAAACCTTCCCCCTTTCCATATGAAATATAGTTAGGGGTGCCCGTTGGTTACACAACCTTTCATCATTTTGCATAAAATGCGAGGATTTCAAGTTTACTAAATTAAAACCTTCTCCCTTTTCCATATGAAATACAGTTAGACACGCTTGTTGGTTACACTACATTTCCATCTTTTGTGTGAAACGCGCTAGGATTTCAAGTTTACTCGATTAAACCTTCCCCATTTCCGTATGAAATACAGTTAGGTATGCCTGTTGGTTACACCACATTTCCTCCTTTCGCGTGAAACGGGCTAGGATTTCAAGCTTACTCAGTTAAAGCCTTTCCTCTTTCCATATGAAATACAGTTAGATACTTTTGTTGGTTACACCATTTTTCCTCCTTTCACGTGAAATGCGCTAGGATTTCAAGTTTACCTAGTTAAAACCTTCCCCATTTTCGTATGAAAAAGGATTAGGTATGCCTATTTGTTACACCATCTTTCCTCTTTTCGCGTGAAACGCACTAGGATTTCAAGTTTACCCAGTTAAAACCTTCTCCATTTTTGTATGAAATACGGTTAGGTATGCCTATCGGTTACACCATCTTTTATCATTTCTGTGTGAGACACGGTTAGGCCTGTTTTGATTAAGCTTAAGGCTTATTTCATATGTTGTCATCTTACAATCTTTATCATCATTGCATTGCATAGCATAATCATGAATACTCAAACAAAATCGGCTTCACGAGGTGTGTAAGTCTAACTTTCAATTGTATTTCGAGTATGCCATTTGCATTTTGCCCCTAAACTACACTAGCTTGATTCCTTGCAAAAGGATACGTAGACAACCTTCGAGTTCAACCAATTGCATTTGCCTCTTGTTTGTTTGCCTAAGTCTTATGGCCTTGTCAAAAGGATCATCTTCGAGCTTTGACATTCACTCACGTCATGGAATGACTTTGAATTCTGTCAAAGAGGGGCAACTGTAGATACCTCATTTTGACCGGCCCTAAGACGTGAACATTTTCTTTTGATTACCCAATGATGAAAAACAAGAATGTGCTATCTCACAAAATACTCAATAAGAAAGATGAAATTTGAACTTTCTTCCTAACCCTAAGCCTGTTTTGGCCAAGTGTTTAAGTCCCGTTCAAAACTCTCTTTCGAAACTTTCTTTCCATACGTTGTTATGAGTACTTCCATAATGTTCTAAGACTCATTTTTAAACTTCAAAATGAAATGTTTTTTCAATTTCTTGAGCAAAGAACAGTGTGGAAATAGGAGGACATGATGACAATTATATCAAAAAATCATGTTTTGTGCAAAATAGTCAAGCCAAGGCCAATATTTTGGCTGGCGAGCTAACTTTTTGGTCAGCCAGCCAAGACATTGGCCGCTGGGCTAATTTGTCCAGGAACAGGGTAGGTTCAGCAAAATTTTTGTTTAATGTGTATGAGACATGCCACCTTAGATATTTCTGATACATTCATGCACGAAATGCATACACACTCAACCTCCATTGCCAAAAGCAGTTGCCCCTTTCAAAAAAATGAGTAGCTAAAGTAAGGGTCAAGTGCTTTATCCTGTCACCTCATGATCCATTGTCTTCCACTTGTCTCCCACTATCTTCTTGACTAAGTCTTCCACCATTGCATATAGAAGAAGATCAGATTGTTGAGAAAGAGAGAGGTGGAGAAGAGATTGATAGAAAGAGAAGTCTTGCTTGAATTAAGAGTAAAAATTAAGCTATAAACCATTATTTTCCATATACACAGTTATACCATCTTCTATATATCAAAATCGTCTAAGAAATTCCATTATAGCCAAATTCTAATAGCATTGATCAAAAGAAGAGTAATTGTTGTTGAGAGTGAGAAAATCAAATAGTTAAACACTTCCCCCCCCCCTCCCACACACACACACTATTAAACAATTCAAATCACCATTCTAACAAGAATTTTGAATTTTTGAATTGAGAATTGAGAACATACGTCATACACTTGAGGGTGACCAACAGAGAGTTTGGAAATCAAGAAGTTCATCCTTTCTTTGGAAGGTGAATTTTTAACTTATAAAGTATGATTTGCATAAAATAATAAAATAATTTATGGTTACTCAAGATATAATATAACTCACCTTAATGTTGATCCCTTCTATTTATTTTTACTTCCTCTGATTCCTTCCGAGGTCCTCTCTTTACTCACTATTTCATTTGTCTTCTTTTTTTTTGGTTTATGTTGCCTTGCCACTACCTCAACTGTTTATATACATGGCCCTAGGTGCTAATTCACCCCTAATTGATGATTTATCCATATAGATATCTTTACTTAGGTCCCTAGACTCTCCAAGTTGCTAACTTTATTAATTGCCACCCTTTGCTCCAAGATGATCTTAGCTCCTAGGTAGACAACTCATACAACTTAAACCCTAATTCCACTTGGGTCCATACAATCTACTAAATGCATGGTTATGTGTTGGTTGGCCCAAATAATATAATAACTACATTGTTATGTTTTGATAAAACCAATGCCCCTTTTCAAATTAGATTACATTTTAGCACATAAGACTATGAAATTAAATATTTTATTTTATTATATATATATATATATATATATTATTAATTTAATTAAATATTTGAGATGTCACAAAATATGTCTTAAAAAAAAGTACCATTTTCTAAGATTTACAGTAAAAATAAAAGTAAAATAAAAAAACTACATTTCAAAGCAGCTTTATAGAATTTTGTTTGCTTTGAAATGTATATGTACTGGTTTCAAAGATTTAATAAGATAATAATTAATATACATGTCCCTAACGTTAACAAGGAGAAGTCATAGTGAAGTGGTTCATGACACTCCATCTCTTCAGGTGGTCCTCGATTCGAGCCCTATCAACTAGGACGTCAAAACTACACAGCCCACGTAACAGTATCCCCAGACCCTAACAAATGAAAGAGTTCATTTCTCAAAATAAATGAGAGAGTTGAAATGGGCTATCTGATGAAAGGTTTTATACATTTGCCATTTCTCAATGCCTTTCTGTAGACGAGTACTCTGTTTTTTTCATTTTGAATAATTTATAACAATACATATGTTGAACATAGAGTAAATTATTTAAGAATAATGTTTTGTAGCTCGAAACTTTTCTCCCTAAATCCCCCGAATGCCCAAAACGACGTCATTTTGGGCATTTTCCTTTTCTTTTTTTTTTTCCTTCCATTTTCCAGTCTGAAACGTAGAGAGGAAGAGGGAGAGAAAGAGAGAAGAAGAGGGGAAGAGAGAAAGAGAAAGAGAGAAAGAGAAGAGAGGTTCGCCGATCGCCGATCGTCGCCCAGCCCGGTCGTCGTCGCAGCCCAGCCCCGCCGTCGCCTTTGCCCCCTGTCTCCGCCTCCGCTCCCCTCCTCTGCCTCCACCTCTACCTAAGCCCCCCTCTGGTTGATGTTGGACCCTCCTTTCCTTGTTCTTCTTTCTTCTTTTTTTCAAATTCGGGGGATTCGGGGGAGGGCTTTTTCAAGCTACCAATCAAGATTCATTATTTAATTGCATACTCATCACATTACCCTTTCAGTTATAGTAATGTTTTGAAAACTGAAACTGATGAAAGTTATTATTTTAAATGGGCCATTTATAAATCATTTCCCAAATAAACATAACAGCACAGTCTTCTATTTTTCCATATTCATTGCACAGTAATCATTTTAATATCATAAATTCCAACAAAAAAAATTGTAAGAAATAAATCAGAAAAATAACTTTAAGATACATGCCTAGATTAATTTCTTGCTTAACTACCCTAAGCTAAGACCTTGTAAGCACACATGAATTATTTTGCATTTGCTACATGATTTGCAACAATTTTTTTTGGGTGGTTAGATCAGACAATTGGATTTGAGCCAAGTGGTTCTTCAAGATTTTAAGCTTAATAGTTAGATTTGACATTTGTTTTTGGTGTTTGGTTGCAACTATGCTAGGCTCTTTGAATAGTTGTGCTCAACATGTAATGATGATGATGATTATTTTTTAGTGTTTGAATTCGATCTATAAGTTTTGATCTATTTATAATTTATTTATAATATTTTGTATTGAATTATAAGTTGAGAAGTTTAACTAGTTCAATTGTATTTATTCTTTCCTTAACAATTCTAGGTTAATTTCAAAATTAAGGGTTATTTGATGCAAAGGGGCTTGTCAAACACTCCCGAGCTCAACTGCTCAACGCTTAGCGAGTGAATCTCTACAAAGTTCATTTAATTGCACATTTTCAAGATGTATGTCTTGGTTAACTTCAACCACTATCTATTAACACTCCGAAACATCCAGGTGACCCACACAACTCGACCCAACCAAACTTCAAATGGGTGGTTTTGATACTATGCGAGAGTATATTTTGCATTGTGAAATAAGTCAAAGCTTTGTAATCAAGATGGACTATCTAGAAACTGAGATCTACAAAAATAACAATCAATGAGAGCTACTCTACTGGGGTTCGCCGAGAAACTCCGCCGATGCAAAATTCAAAAACTTAGAGAGATGGAGGGAGAAAAAGAGAAAGAGAAAGTATGCGTGCATAAGAACTGGAATGTTCTCTAGAAGAGGATTGTAGTTATCTATTATAGGCTACAT